AAAAATGCAGCGCTAGAAACTGAAAATATGAACTTAAAAATAGAGAATGCAGACCTTAAATCACAAGCCAGTAACCTCAAACAGAAAACACTTATTTGAAAATAAAAAATGCAGTGCTAGAACCTGAAAATACGAACTTAAAGATAGAGAATGCAGATCTTAAATCACAAAACACTGCCCTCGAAAAAGATAATACAGCATTCAAATCAAAAAATGCAGGTCTAGAAAAAGATAACGAAGTACTCAAATCACAAAACAAAATTTTCGAAAAAGACAATGAGAATTTCAAAAAAGTCAACGAGAACCTCAATAAGCAAATAGAAGATTTGAAACTAAAAATTAAAGAACTCAATAATAAAAGTATAGATCTCCAACTACAACTAACGAGCCTCAAGGAGCACCATAATACCCTTAATGATCAGTTCAAGGATTTATTAACGAAAAACAAAATAGACAGGGAAACTATAAAAAAGCTGAATAAAGAAATCAAAGAAATAAATGTCGAAAAAGATAAAGTAGAAAATGATTTATTAGCAATAATCAAAGAAAGAAAAGAAGAAATTAAAGTAAGGAATGAATTGATAGACAAATTAAATGCTGAAAAATTAGAACTTATTATGAAGCAAAAAAAGAAAAAATATGATTAATATAACTTGTTCATGATTTCAATTTTTGATTGTATTGAGAAAATATATTTTGTTAGTTTGAGTGAATGAAAATAAAATCTCGTGACTTTAGTCACGATGTACTAGAACCGCGTATACGTGTAAATCTAAATTAGTTTTTAATAATTTTTTTTTTTATTAAAATACTTTCAAATCAAGATTATTTATTTTTAACTACAAATTCGAAACTAATAACAAATGTAAAAAATCCAAAATATAAAATTCAAGTAAAGGACTAATAAATATTGTGATGATAACAAATGCAAATATGTGAAGCACGAATTTAAACCTACAAAATTTGTAAAAGATTAAAAAGGGTTTCTTAATTAATCACACTGAAATCACTAGAATAAATACAAATCTGTGATTGGCTAAAAATAATTTTTAGCAAATCATATATTGGCATTTTTTCTAGATTTTTGATTCCCAGTGTGATGTATGAAAATCACTGATCACAGTAATTTGAAAAGCGCAGTAAATAGAAATGTAAACTGTTACCAATTTTTATTTTTTTCCAATCGTTGATTTTCAATTTCTAATCTTTCGATTTCACTTCGCAAAGTTAAAATAAAATCTAATTGATTCGCCGGAATATAATTATTGACTATAAGATGCAATTGTTGATACATCATTAACTAATTAAAAAATATATATGATAAAAATATCAAAATAACCTTACAAAAAAAATATTACAATTTTTACTATACTATACGCGGTTTTGAGTTCGTTCTTCAATCTTAGATTTTTCAATTCCAACTTTGAAGACATTTTAATTTTGTTCAAATTTTTAATCAGAGATTATCATATAAATCAGATAATTTATTTGACACATGATAATAACGACGAATAATACTGTAATATAGAATAACTGTGAAAACTAAAATATACCTTACATTGTGTAAAAATAAATCAATATAATTTTTCCTTCTATTGAAAAGCAGTAAATACAAGTTTACTGCACTAGTAATGGTACAAAATATTATATAAAATAAAATTACAACTGCTGTGTATATTTCAAAAAATTTATATATCAAATATGGTTTTGTTTTAATATCACGTGTAAAACCAGGCTTATAACTCTTTTGTTGAAAAGAATCAAAAGTGAAATTCTCTTGAAAAAATTTGATTGAAAAAATTTTGACCTTTAAACTTTTTTTTTATAAACAATGAGTTCCATCACACTCTTACCGAATGAAACCCTCGTACAAATATTCCAAAAATTCAATTATCTAAAGAATAAGAATAATATCTTATTTTTATGCCTTCTTGTAAACCGTAAATGGTGTAGACTTATCGTTCCAATATTATGGATATCTCCTTGTTTTAAAAATAGAAGAGTCATCGAAATATGTCTTTTAGAATTGAATGTCAATGAACAAGTACTGTTAGTCCCGTTTAAAATTAAAATTTTCCAAAGCCACTGTTTGAGTATACATGCTTTATCACTTCTATTGACGGTCGGTATTTGAATAGAGAAGTGTTAAATTTTCTTGGAGAGTTCGAAAAAAGTATTTATCCCATAGCAGCTGTTAAATGCTCCTTGTTTTCAATGTTTCTACGAAAAAGTAAGAAACTTAAAACTTTAAGCCTTTCAAATTATAACCTTGGTTCACTTGGAGGAAAAGAAATAGCAAATGCACTTATCGAAAACAATAGTCTAATTTATTTGAATCTTTCAAACAATCAGCTTTACTCTGATGTTGAAAAAGCTTTAGTCAATGCTCTCTGCAAAAACAATAAATTAGCAACATTAGATCTTTACCTTAACCAGATTGGGTTTGAGGGCGGGGCATTTGTAGATGCTCTTCTTAAAAATAACACTTTAACTACTTTGGATCTTTCAAATAATAACCTTGATACTTCTGGAGGAAAAGCGTTAGCAAATGCTCTTTGCAAAAACCATACATTAACTACTTTAACCATTTCCAGTAATAAACTTGGATCTGATATTGGAAAACCACTAGCATATACTCTTTGCAACAATAACGCTTTAACTTCTTTATATCTTGCGAATATTAATCTTGGTTCTGGAGGGAAAGTAATAGCAAATGCTTTTATCAAAAACAGCACTTTAACTTGTTTGGATCTTTCATCTAATCAGCTTGGCTCTGATGTAGGAAAAGTGTTAGCAAATGCTCTTTGCAAAAACAACATGTTAACTACTTTGAATCTTTACCTGAACGAACTTGGTCTTGAGGGTGGTAAAGCATTAGTATCAGCTCTTCGCAAAAATAGTGGTTTGACTTCATTAGATCTTTCATATAATCGCCTTGGAAATAATGTGGGAAAAGAATTAGCAGATGCACTTCAAAAGAACATAACTCTAAAAGTACTGAATTATAAGGTAATGAATTTGATCCTGAAATAGAGGAAAATTTAGATGAAATAATAAAAAGTGGCAGTTTAGATTTAGAGTTTGATTCCGATTATGATAGTATCGTAACTGTTTGTTAATTGTAGTCTTTTTTTTTTTTATGACTGGTCGAATGGGAAATTTGGTTAGTAAATGTTATTTTTTGAAAAATAATAGTTTGTGACTTAGTCACATCAATCAAATTCAGTTGATTTTAGGCATGAAGTGAATATAAATTTGTACAATTAGAAATTAACAAATAAAATGAATGCTAATATCATGTGACCCGATTTCGCAATGTAATGAATACTACAGACTGTAGTCTACAGTAATGGCGCAAAAAATTTGCTTTATTTTTATTCAGCCAGCATTAAAATAGTCATGTTCGCATAATTTGACCCGGAATTATAATCATGCGAGAGATCCTCAATTTTGATTGGCTAAGAGCGAATATCAAAAATTAGGCCAGAATTACTTGAATTTTTCAAATATGGACAGAAAAAATATTAAGCCAACATTCCTTTAAAATTTATCGAGATAAGAGCTGTGAAAAGTTAAGGCTGACCAAATAATTCTTTAAAAAAAATTTTAAATTCTTCTTAAGAAATAATACACGATTTACTAACATAATACAAATGACATAATTCGTAATCTTTATGATCTTTTTATGATTGATAAATTGCATCTTGATGATTAATCAAGTTTATTGGTTTAGAGTATATGTATCAATAGAACAATAACTTTATTTTCATAAGACAAATTTAAAATAAAGTTCAGCATTATCCTTACTCAACATCCAGCAAAATAAACATCAATGCAGTACAAGGAAATGATGTTAAAAGACAGAATTAAAATAAATCAAAGAAAAATAATTCTGACACTAATAATATATGACA